GGAAAAGAAATGGAAAAAGAAAGGAGGTCCCTCATCGTAATACCATGAGGCCCTGCAATTCAAAAAAGGCTAGTACAGTTATGGTTGCATTTCATTTTTGCCGTGATGGCAACTGGAAGCTGAGCGAATCATCGAAAAAAGTATACACCAACTAATAAAAAACAATAATGTTAAGCACAATCTAGCCCTGTATTTCGCGGCATTCCTATAAATACAGAGCTAATGCTTTAGTACAGGAGATGATGGTTCAATGATTTCACAGTTGCCCCATCGATGAAGTGATAAGCCCCCCTTACTGGTCTATAAAAAATAATATCAATAAAATTCGACCTCGTCGACCTCCCACTTCATTAATTCGGTCAGAACAGGACGACAGCACAACCCTAGATACCGCAATGAGGCCAACCAAAAATTCTAATTTTTTCTGCAACTTCGCTTAAGAAAGTGGTATTCGTTCTTGACCCTAGTCCATGTTTGGCAAGTAATCGAATCAAAAAGCAGCCTAATGTCTCAGAAATTGGTTGCCATTCCTCCAAAATCTGCGCCAATTTCGTGCGACAACTGCGATCTAACTGCAAACACACCCAAGAGACTCGGTGCTCTGATACGCGAATATCGAATTCGCGGAATAATGCGCTAATTACTAATAGTGAAATTGTTGGAGAGTTAATGATTATTGATGAAAAAATTTAGAAAGAAGTGAAGTGACGCATTCATAACGGCGGTCGTCAAAGGGTTAACATTACTGTGGCCCATTTGGGCAGTCACGTTTCGACGTAATTTCAGGAAAATAAACGTTAAATCCGAATGTGAGAAGTCCATGAGGACCGGCCCAATCAGTTTCGAATGGTGCGGAAGGGTGGTCCTGACCAATGCAACGAACGTTTTGTCAAGCTTAAGAAGTGAAGGGTACGAACTCCAGGGCAAACATGTACAAGAATTTAGATTGTGGATAAGGCTTGTAGGGACAGGTCACTGGTTCTAACGAGAAGGATAGCTTCAGTGAGTCAATTGTCAGCGCTCTCATCCTAAGCGTATGAGGTCCAGAGCACAGCCCCTCCTACTCCATATTCGTCGCACAAAACTGACACTGTTTTAATGCTTGACCACTTACGTTTCAAGCACAGAATCTTAATCTCCGATCCAATTTTTAACACTCATTCGCAATGTTTCTGTATCACAAGCCCGTTATAATTCATGATGCATTTCATGGTATTAATTCACACATATTTGAAGCAAATGAGCGGACTAGTAAAAAAACTGACTTTCGTAAGTTGGCTTCAATAATTTGCAATCTCACTAATTGTAAGGAATCCCATAATGTTCGAGCTTGCTGAAAAATTCTACTTTCAGTATCGAAGAAGCCATGGTGCTTTTTCAAGTACGCCCATTTGTTTCACATGTAGCCCTCCCATCAGCTGTGAGGCGGAAAGAAAGCCCTACACTGGCATATTACCACACATGTTATATTGTCATTTTGTCTTTCTTATTGGAATTGCCATAAATCTCTTGCGAAGTGAAAACTATTATTGAAGGCTCAACTAACCGCTTCAAATGTGGCAACAAGGAAGTGACAGTAGCCACATTTGTCGTTTCCTTTATCGCTGCTAGCAGCGGCCGCCAATGGCAAAAGACCCGATATAAGAATTAGAAGCATAGATGTTGAAAACAAATCGATCATATCGATTATTTGTTCTGCACAACCGGCGGCGATCGATAGGGGAAAGTGACCGCCGTGCGGCGGCTTGAGGACTCCGAGGACCTGAACAAACAGTGAAGTCACGAAATGAAGAGAAACATGCCAAATATTGAAGAAAATAGACGGAAGAAATAAGAGAATGAAATTCATAAAATGATATCCATTTCCGGTTCCGCCCTACAACAAGCCGATGATATAGGAAACATAATCAGCTGCGTGACTCAACTTCACAAGATTGGGAAAAGAAATGGAAAAAGAAAGGATCAGGTCCCTCATCGTAATACCATGAGGCACTGCAATTCAAAAAAGGCTAGTATGGTTATGGTTGCATTTCATTTTTGCCGTGATGGCAACTGGAAGCTGAGCGAATCATCGAAAAAAGTATACACCAACTAATAAAAAACAATAATGTTAAGCACAATCTAGCCCTGTATTTCGCGGCATTCCTATAAATACAGACCTAATGCTTTTAGTACAGGAGATGATGGTTCAATGATTTCACAGTTGCCCCATCGATGAAGTGATAAGCCCCCCTTACTGGTCTATAAAAAATAATATCAATAAAATTCGACCTCGTCGACCTCCCACTTCATTAATTCGGTCAGAACAGGACGACAGCACAACCCTAGATACCGCAATGAGGCAACCAAAAAATTCGAATTTTTTCGGCAACTTCGCTTAAGAATGTGGCATTCGTTCTTGACCCTAGTCCATGTTTGGCAAGTAATCGAATCAAAAAGCAGCCTAATGTCTCAGAAATTGGTTGCCATTCCTCCAAAATCTGCGCCAATTTCGTGCGACAACTGCGATCTAACTGCAAACACACCCAAGAGACTCGGTGCTCTGATACCGAATATGGTGTTAGTTGACACAAATGTCATTTCAGGCCCATTTTTTGCCCGCCCGCGCCATCCGACAGAAAAATTACGCCTAAGCCCAGCAGTGAAGAGGTTCCGGGGTGAATGACATGACAGTTGCGTGGCCTCATCGCTCCAAGGCCGATGTCATAGTTTGCGAATCGAGCGATTCGCTAGCGAATCGCTGGATCCGAGCGTTGCGCCAGCGAATCGAACGTTGCACCAGCGAGTCGAACTAGTACCAAGCTGTTCAAAAGTGGCGGGACCCAACGTTTAAAGGAAGGCCCGCCACTTTCAAACAGTGTGGTCCTTAAAGTGGACTTCCTTTAAACGTTGGGTCCCGCCACTTTACAGTGTCGAGTCGCTGGTACATCGTTCGACTCGCTGGTGCATCGTTCGATTCGCTGGCGCAACGCTCGGATCCAGCGATTCGCTAGCGAATCGCTCGATTCGCAAACTATGACATCGGCCTAACTGTAGCCACACTGTAAGTGGTCACCAAC